AGAGTTTAGGCTTATGGGGTTTCGGGTATTATATGGTGTGGCTTTAAGGGTTTGGGGCCAGTTCAGCGTTTTTGGTATTGGGATTAGGCGTTCAGCCCAAAAGGATTTAGGGGTTTGTGGGCATGGGTTCGCACGTGTAAGTAACCTAGAGGGTCCATATATTTGACATTATGGAATGTTAGGTCCCAAGACGATAGTAAGGATGGTTTTGGGTCCCCAAACTAGCACGGCACCCATATAAAATGGGCCGAAAGGGACCTAATTCAGAGAACCCCGATATATGGACCCTATGGGTACGATGGAGGGCTTAGGCCCAGGCAGAGAAGCCGAAACCTCCCTAAAGCTGTGATGTCCAAATGCTGCATGTTCGAGCCTCATCGTTTTCAATACTCTTACTCGAGTTGAGCTTATAACGTAGATAGAATAGTGTCACAAGATAACACATAAGATAACAGATTTCAACATAGCGAATCGAATCCTCTGCCTTGGGTTTAGTGTTTCAGCGTTTAGGGCTTCAATCAGCGAGGTTCAGAAGACTAACTGCTAAACAAATCTTGTACTTCACCATTGTTAGTGCGAGCATCTGAAGCCGATACATGACGATTTGAAGCCAATCGGCTGCGGGGGAAGGTTTACATTTTCGGCCTCTTCTGCACGAATCCGGAGCAGCCTCTTTGACGGCCCTATATGCGGAATAGAGCCATGTGAGATTTCCGTCTGGTTGGGGGTATGGGAAGCCGAAGTCATGTTATCGACGATGTTTTTTCTCATGTACAGCATACAGTGAGAAGTGTCATAAATCATATATGGTATACACTGTTTTGTATACATATATATATATATATTTATTATACATATACATACATATATATATATATATATAGGCGGTCGTGGGTTTCTGTTATACTCTGTTGCTTGAGTGCTGGGTTGTGGGAGATGGGGTTCATCGAGCTTTGAATTCCTCCTCAGGGTTGCATAGTTCAGTAGTGCCTTTAAAGAACGATTTCCGTCGTTTGCAGCTCCCTGAGTCTGACTCTCACAGCCAGAAGCCCCAAGTCATCATTATGTACTGTGTGGGCTATTACAGATGGTCCTAAGCGGGTACTGGGCATTGTCTCCCCAAAGGCTGAAGAAAACTGCAGAATTTCAATGTGATCTTGAGGCAGAGCCAGGAAGTTTTGGACACATCGTATCAACTTACATCAGTTAATGAAAACCCTAGATCCTAAAACTACGCAGCCCAGAACCCCTTAAAACCTAAACCCCCAAAAACCAAAGCAAACCCCACAAGGTACAGAGATTCCGGAACCTTCCAGGCGACCCCTACTCTTTGGTGATTTTCGGGGGGCATCAGAGGTTTTGGGTTTGGGGTTGAGGGTGTAGGGTTTAGGGTTTAGGGTTTAGGGTGCAGAGTTTAGGGTATAATGGATCTTCTTCTCTTGTCATACTGGAGTGTCGGCGGTGGGGTTGGGAGTGCAGGGTTTTGGGGTTCAGGATCTGGTGGTCTTAATTGCCATGTGCATCGTTCTTGCTAGGAAGCGGTCTTGTCGAAGCGCTTTCTCTGCAATTTCGTGACAGGTGAGGATCCGTGGAACAGTCGCGACGGCTTCAGAGCGATTGCTGGACATCCAGCCGTGTCTTGTCGTGTGGTTTCGATCTGCCTAAGTTGGTCATCGGGACACGTTGTGTTTGCCCTTATTATTGGATCCCGCTCAGGAATATTGTTCAGAGGGAAATCTCGGTGTTGGCTGGGCTTGGCCCTGGCATAGAAAGTGAAAGCGGCGTAATTAACGTCTTTCAGCAAACAACCCGAAACATCTTCGATGGATATTGCTTTTGAGAAGCCCAGCTTAGTCCTAGCCGGTAGATCGGACATCATGGAGTCGAAATCTCTACTGTAGGGCTCTTAATATTCAGAACAGGGTTTTGTGGGCTCCTTATTGTAACTATAGTATAATATACTCCCAAACCCTATTCTAATTGTTAAAACTACTAGATTATACGCCCTAAGCCAAAACACATCCGACGCTTCAAGCCCTTTGCCGTAAACCCCTGAACCCTGTAGGCCCTAAAACTGTAATCCCTCAAACTTGCGGTTGAAGCTGACCCAAACCTTAGACTAAGTCTAACCAAGGGTTTAGGGCTTGGGGTTTAGGGTTTTAGGGCTTTAGGGTCTAGGGTTTACAGTCCATGTATAGTACTATTTTGAAATTAGTTCCCTGGCAGCCATGATTCGGATGTGTTTTTGCGGCCTAATTTGATCGTACAGTAGTACACAGAGGCCCTCTGCGTAGACCAAGCCTACTACGGCGCCAAAATACCACCCTAAACCCCCAAACCCCTAAACCCTAAACCCCTAAACCCTAAACCCCTAAACCCCTAACCCTTAAACCCCTGAGCCCCTAAACCCCTAAACCCCAAACCCTGAACCCTAAACCCCTAAACCCCAAAACCCCCAAACCCCTAAATCCTTCATTTAGCATCCAAACCTTAGGCTCTGAAGGGCTTCGGCCTGGCTAGAATCTTCTGAGGTAGTTGTCTGTCATGCTTGGAGATTTAGGGTTAAGGGTTTGCTACGATAAAGTAGGTTATAAAGTTATACAGCCCTTCACCACAGGGGCATAACCCCCAAAGTAGCAGGTTTTGTGGATCCCCAGGCCCCAGTGGGGCAAGCAGGGCTCAAATCCTTTCCTTTGAGGTACCTCCTTGCACCAAAGTTGGCGGCTCCTTTAGATTTTCTGGAGGTCGTCACCGACCAGGCCGCCGTGGGGAGGTTTTGTCAGTCCGAAGGATCCAGTTGTAGGGTTTACCTGGACCCTGCAGTACGAACGGCCTGCCCTCGCTGTCGGTACAGGTTGCTGAAGCCTAAACCCTATAGACCCTAAACCCTACAAAAGGTAGGCTCGGGGCCTTCGGTGTCGTGCTGAGAAATCATTCGTCTAAGGTTTAGAGTTCTGGGTTTTCAGTGTAGGGTTTGGTCTTTCAGTCTAGGAGTTGAGGGTCCAGATTTTGGGGGGTGGATTTAGGGTTCAGGATGGCTTAAACCCGAGATCGATGTCGGGGCCGTGGACTTTGCAGGGTGTGACTTCTGCTTTTGGATGTGTTCCATAAGCCTAAGGGAAAACACTTTGAAATCCCCAAACCCTAATCACCAAGCGCAGAGCCTTATGACTTTTCCCTGCACGCATCCTCAACCTTACAGCCGCAATTTATTGTGGCGAGTTGGCAGGTGTCCCCGGCCGGGTCTTTGACCACTGTGGCTTGGCTACTCCTACTACTACTACTACTACTACGACGACGACGACGAAGATGGTTTAGGTTGCTTTGTTCCGTCGATGTATTACTACTATTCTGTTGTAGATCTTGGCTGCGCTGTGGTGCCTTCTGTTTCTGGACTACAAAGCCCTAAGGTTTTGTCGCAGGGTTTGAAGATTGCAAGCAGGGTTTCTGTTGATGCCGCGCTGAACTGTCAGACTGCCATAACGAACGAGATCTGTATGCAACCGACCAAAGCTTTGATTTCAATCCAACTGCAAAAGGTTTCTGGGCTCCCTGGGTAGTATAATAATGAGGGGACAGCCGCCGTATTTCGAACAGCTCCCAGGTGACCGTGCGTTTTCGCCCACCGCTGGGGGCAAGCGGTATTGTTCGGGCCGTGCGCTTTGCGCCTTGGATCATTCAAGGCTTTAGGTTCTGTGGGGTTTGGGGTTTAGGGTCTTGTACAGGGGCCCCAAATAAATCAAGCAGTGCGAAGATGCGTTGGGGCGGGTGGTTGGCTCAATATGGACTAGTGGGACGTTAGGATGCTGAGAACTAGAAATGATCCACTGGAGAGTGTCAACAAGTTTGTGCAATGAGGTTCGAAGGCCGGGTTTAAGGGTTAGTGGTTAGGGGGGGTTAGTGTGTAGGCTTTAGGCTAGGTTTAGTGTTTAGGGTTTAGGTTAGGGTTTATTGCATATGGGGCCAAGGTACCATAAGTGTTGGCATGTCCCTCCTAGCTGTTTCCCCAGGAAGCGCCACCGGGCTTTGTGCTGGCCACGGGCATCGGAGGTGCCTCAACCGCGGGACCATACCCTTGCATTTCTAAACCCTAAACCCGAAACCCTATACCATACAATCCATACAACATAAGGGTTCAGGGTTTAGGGTGTTCACTCCCCGAAGCAATACTAACCCTGAGCCCCAAAACCCCAAGATCCGAAGCCTTACACTCCGATGTCCTGCTTCCTATGCCTTAACTCGCTGAAACCCTGAGTGTTAAGCCCGAATGCTAAAACAGATTTCGATTCCTAAGCCATCTAAAGCCTTAGGCGCCTTAGGCCGGACATAAGCTTTTATCAAACAAAGGCACTCCTTAAGATCTGCTAATTTTCTGTGGCTTACGGCCCTCACTATATGCCCTGATCCATTCGGGAAGCCTTCAAGAGCCCTTCAAGAAACCTACAAGGGTTCTTCAAAAAAGCCTCTACGAAGCCCGCAAACCTTACAAACCCTGAGCCTTTACCCTTATAGCCCCTAAACCCGAAACCCTCACATAGCCCTAAGACCTAGACTAGGGTGTATAGCCCCAAAGCCTTGAAGCTCTGTGTGAGGTCCCTGCATGGGATTCAGCTCTTCTGTCCTCCAGACCGGAGATACCGTGCTGCCCCCGAGTGCCTGCTCAGGCACTGGGAGTTCGTGGCGAAGCCCCAAACCCCAAACCATGGTGTTTGGTTGAGGTCTTTGTTGTGTTCTCGAGGAGTTTTGGGGTTGTTCAAGCGAGGTTTGGGCTTTGTTAGAGCGGTGTTTAGGGGTGTCAAAGGGCCTGAGGATTATCTATGTTGTTTTTCAAAAGGGTTTGAGGGGTTTGGGGTTGGGATTGTTTTCGGGTTCAGGTACGACAGGGTTTAGAAGTCGTGTTTGTTTTTTTGTTTAAGGTGGTTCAGGGTTTGAAGGGGTTGCTATTTGGGTCGGGGCCGGCAAATTTAGTTAGACGATAGCTTTGACAAGTGTACACCAAATCCGGTTGGAACTATGTAGGCACCTATATCATAGAACCAATATAGTAACTATTGTAGAACCCTTCAAAGAACCCTTACAGGAGCCCCACTGTAGTGTCAGGAGCTCAGCTTGCGTGCGAGGAGGAAGCTCCCAGGGGATTCTTTCGTTTGCCTTTAACGCCACGGGTCCTGGGGATACTTCCTTGAAGGGGTTCCTGTAAAGGATTCGTCTGAGAAGTAGAGGGCCTGAACAGAGGAACCCAGGCTATCCCTTTGGGTTCCTTGCTAGATACCTAAACTTATTATGTCTATCTCATAAAGGAGCACAAAAAGCCTATTCTAATTATTGAGGCCCCTACATTACACTTGATGCGAAGGTACAGGCCGTGATGAAAGCAGCACTCCTCGATTCTAGCCCTCTGCTGGAGCAAGCCCAGGTTCCCCCGTAGTACCCGTTTGCCCTTTTTCCTTTCGGGTTCCTTTATTAAAACCAAATAGTAGGAAAAAGGCGCACCCTTCCCATTAGGGGGCTACTGCCCTCGAAGCCTAAACCCTCTAACCCTAAACTCTAAGCCCTACAAAATGAGGGCTACCGGGGAGTCTGGAAGCCGATTCGAAGTGACCCTTAAATTTTGAAGGGAATCCCTATACCGACATTCTAGTAGCCTTGAAGCGACTGAGGGCTCTGTCCGTCGGGCCCCGAAGACTTGACCCATGGGTTTGGGGTTTGGGGTTTGGGGTTTGGGGTTTAGGGTTTAGGGTTTAGGGTTTAGGGGTTTAGGGTTTAGGATTTAGGGTTCAGGGTAGGTCAAGATAGCCTGAAGGTCCTAACCTCTCCGAAGCAAGCAAAAATCGGCCTTTAGAGAAGGGCATACTCCTTAACCTCCCTGTTTACATGACCCGAAGTACTCACCGACTTGCGCTTTGGTGTTCAAGCCTTTTGTAGCCCAAACCTTAGATAAATCCCAAGCCTTCAAAACAAGGCCAGTCAGAAAAGGCCGCACCCCAATCCAAATCCTCTAAACCCCGAGACCCTAAACCCAAATCCCAGAATCGGGAGATGTTTACGCACAGGCGCCTCACCTCAATCTGTGCTGCTGACAATGCCCGAGGCATTGCCACTCCTTGGCCAGGGCCTGAGCTGTTGGGTAGTTATCTGAATTAGAGTCCCTCTCACAAAAACCTGTTATGAACTCATAGTACCCTTATGGGTCCTTTGTATATGGGTGCCGTACTATTGTGTGACCTGAGAAGAAACCCGAATTCAGAGAACCATCCTATTGCTGAAAATCTTCTCGGGTTTAGGTCTGTAGCGCTCCTCGGTGTTTGTTCATTGATGGCTTTTCGCTGGGCTTAGGGGTTTCAGTAGGCTTTATGGGTTTTAGTAGGATTTAGGGTTTAAGGGTTTGGGGATTTGAGTTTGTTAGGGTTGAGGAAAGGAAACTGTCAAGTCGCGCACCAAGGGTCTCGACTGAAGGCGGTTGATAGAAGAATGCATAAGAATGCAGACGTCGAGTCGATCAGTAAGTGACTGTAAGAATCTCCCCGTATGCCCGTATACCACCTATGTAACTCTAAGATGTGAATGAATAAGAAAATGCACATAGATTTCTGCCTGTAATTGTAGATGAACACACACACACACGGTCATACTGATTAACTATGAAATTAGCAGTCATCATACTGTCACAGCAAAGGACCTTGTTCCTGCTACTTACTCTCCTTTGTCCCTCATATTGGCACTCTCCTTTTAGGGTCTTGGGCCCTGCCCAATGCCCTGCCCTGCCCTTCGTGAAGGTTCTTGTGGCCAATCCTGAACCTCTTAAACCCGAATCCGATTCGGAATCTGACACGTTCGGGCTCAAGGTCTAGGAATTTGTGTTGTCAACCCGCTTGGGCTTGGGAGAAGAATGAGCCCCCGTCAAGAACACATCGCAGGGGCTGATCGGGTGGGCCTCACCTATGTCTTCCAGCTGGGCATGATCAGCCCTCTTCAGGAGGCAGAGATTTTGGAGTTGGGGTTGGGGTTGTGGGGTGTTCCGCAAATTGAGAAATGCAGATGATTCAGATAGCCTGGTATGCTGGGGTGTAGGGTTTGGAGGGCTTTGGGCTGGGGCTTGAGGGAGGAGATTGGCAGATTTGGGAGTTGCAGGAAGAAGGAATCCTCAAATCTCAGACCCGATAAACTAAGATGCCCAAGGAATGGACCTTGAAAGTAAGGTAACGGTCAATGTGAAGACGACCTCTTCACCTCAACGACTGGGTTGAGTTGTTAGTACGCAGGTTCGTTTGGTTTGACATTGGCAGATTTGCGTAGGGAATCAGATTCTCGTGCCTTCCAGCCCCAATTAAACACGAGGCCCTCAACCTTGAGCTTCAGGCCTCAACGCATCAAACACTTCTCCCCTAAACCCGGATCCCAACCCCTACTTAAGCCAAGAAAGAAGCTACACTTTTACGGTAACCCTGATAAATCCTTTAAGGAAGGGAACCCCCTTAAAGGGAACCCCAAAAAAGGCCCTCAGAACATCTGAGAGGTGTTGGTCGACCTTCTGCTGCTTGCTTTGAGCCGAGGGCCGGGGGACGCCCCTCTGCTCCCTGGCACGCTTAATATAGGAGCCCGAATAATTACCGATACAATTTTGGGGGGTTCCTTATCATGAGTATATCATACTGGGCACCGAAACCGTATTCTAACTATGAGGGCCCCTATACTATATCCTAGAGGTTCGGGTTTCGGTTTTAGGGTTTAGGGTTTAGGATTTTGAGGTTTAGGGGTTTAGGGGTTTCGGGTTTGCTAGGCAGTATTAGGGAGACCCCTGATAAGGGGACCTGAACCCTACTTATGGCTCTCTTCAAAGGGACCTGATTGAGACAGCCTGTGGTCCCCCTAACCCGAACTCCTATTATAAAGGTGCCTTACTTGTTTGAACCCTCGTTCCTTTTAAGGGTTCCTTACAAGGGCCCATAAGGGTTCTAGAATGAGGGTTGTGTATAAGGGTTCTTTAGTATAGGACTAAATCTCAGCCCCCGCTCAAAATGGTACCTTACATCCTTCCGGGGCCAGAAGCAAACCTTAGCCCAAATGCCCAGACCCGGATATGGGGGCCTTAATAATTAGAATAGGGTTTTGGGTAGTCATAATCAGGAACCCCAAAATATAGTACTGGTAATTATCTAGGCCCCTAGTACTTCCCTAAACCGTAGGGGCCTTAAAATGAAGGATCATTGGAACCTGGAAAGGTATGTGAACTTCTACCGTTATACTTATCACCAATCGACCTACTTACAAGAATCCGAGGCCCACATAATATCTCATACGATGCCCTTATAGAAGCCCTTATACCTCAACCCCTAAAGCCTGCACTCCTTAACCCTAAGCCCGAGGGCCCTTCAGCATGTCCACCCAAAGGTACGCCGCCAGCGTCCCGGGCTTCGCCTCGACCATTCCCGGTCTTCGGCCTCTGGAACCCGGCGCTCTGCCGGAGGAGCTCACGTCGTCCTTTTTTCGTCGTCCTCTTTACCGTAATGGATTTAGGTTTGGGGGTTGAGGGTTTAGGGTGGAGGGCAATAAATGAGTTTTAGGGATTTTAGGGTTTAGGGATTTGACAGTAGATTCTCGGGCTTAGGGCGGCAATAGATGTACTTAGGGTTTAGTGTAATGCATGCGGTTTGGGATTTAGGATTTAGAATTTAGGGTGGTACATGTGGCGTAGGAACTGGGGAATGGGGTCTGAGGTTTTGGGATGTTTAGGATGATAAATGGGGTTTTGCAGTTTTGGGTTTAGGTAATGATTGGGGTTTGGGAAGCATCGGGATTGTGGTTTTGGGTCCAGGGTATAGGCTTTCTTTGCACAGGCGAACCCTGAAAAGTAGAATCCCGCAATAGCTTGAGGAACAAACAAACTCTGAAAACTAGAATCCCCTAATAGCTTGACGCACAAACAAACCCTGAAATCTACAATTCCCCACTACCTTGATGCACGAGCAACTCCTGAATAATAGAATCCCCCAATAGCTTGACGCACAAACCAACCCTGAAAACTAGAATCCCCAAAGTGGAATTCACGAATGACGTGAGAGAAGACCAAGCCCCGCGAATTCCAGATCCCCAATAGCTTGAGGGAAAACCAGGCTGCACAAATTAGAATTCACCAATAGCTCATATTAATGTTATATTACTATGTTATTGTGATTTATTCTGTTAGTGTTTGATTAATTTTGCGATATTATATTATACTATATGATATTATATGATGTTAATCGGAATTCACCTATAGCTTCGGGGAAGACAAAGCCCCACGAATTGTTATTCATTAATAGCTTGAGAGCGACAAACCCCCTACAAATTGGAATTCACAAATAGCTTGAGAGAAGACCAAGCCCCACTAGTTCGAATTCGCCACTAGCTTGACCTGAACAAAGTCCTTGGCCGCACCTCGGAGAAAAAAATATACAAGGTTGGCCGCACCTTGGGAAAAACCCTTCCGTCGTTGCATGGGGTTTAGGGTCCACTATATTTTCCACTACTTACTATGACCAGCCGTCTTCTTGGGCAGTATACTTAGGAATGTTGCTAGCAGTCTCAGCTAACCTACGCCCTTAAGCCCCAAACACTAAACCCTGCGAACCGAAACCCTTCGGAAGAAGGAAAGAGTAATCGTATTGCCTTAACTACCATGTTAAGGCCGTATACAACATAGACTTTTTAACAGATCACCCCACACACTATGCTCTCTGTCGCTATATATATATATATATATATACTCGTACACATAAACATCTAGATATATGATACGAATACTAATCATACTAGTACGAATAATAACGCCCCTACGTTGTTCATTACTTCTCGCATGGGTTCTACGAGGATCTTTGTTCCGAAAAGTTGCCCGAGGGTGTTCAGTTAAGGGCCCGACCCCCTCAATATGAACGCTAGATCATCAGGTCTTCAAACCGAACCACACCCTAAAACCCTAAGCCTAGCCTTAAACCCTTTAATCCTGTAACCCTAACCCTCAAGCCCTTTGAAGCCTTAAACACTGAAACCTACAACCCTCGAAACCTCTATATAAGCCTCGGCTTCAACCTCAAAGGAGCAGCTGGTACCACAGCCGGTGGACAACCTTCTCGAGCCCTTCTCCACCGTGCAGGTCGCATCGCGGGGACTGCCTTGGAGTGTCTGGGTGGCAATTTCTTGAAGCCTATAAAGCCTAAACCCTGAACCTTAAACCCGAAACCCTGAACCCTACTTAAACCCTAAGCCCTAAACCTTGAACCCTAAACCCTAAACCCTAAACCCTAAACCCTAATTAAGCCCGATGAAACCCAGGCGCAAGATGCTTCTGGCTGCTCGTCCTCGCGCCTTTTACATGAAGGCCGGTCAAAGCGCGAGACCAGAATTGATCGGAAAGCCCATCAGGATTCAGGTTTAGGGCTTAGGGTTTAGGGTTAGGACGTAGGTGTAAGGTTTAGGTTTTAGGGTGTAGCTTCCGTATTCGGATTTATAACAACAACCTACACAGCATGTAGGTATTGGTAGGTGAAGGTCGTACCTAGTTTGGGATAGTTAGGAGCCCCCCTGTCAGGTTTCGGGTTACGCGTCGTGGAATCAGGATAGGTTTAGGTTATGGGGTTGAGGATTCAGGGTGTATGTTAGCCGTTGAGAATTCAGGGGTGTTCATAAACGTGTAGGGCTTTCACCATGGGATTTTCAATCTCCTGTAGGCTCCTTTGTCCTTGCTATCTTGACCCTACCTATAGTCTCCATTGTAGTTGAATTTGGGGTTTAACCGATGATATATTTAGGATTCTATAAGGTACTTGTAACCCCAAGAAGGAACTGCAATGGAGACTATAGGTTTACCGTAAACCCTATAAAACCCAAACCGAACTCTAAACCTAGCATCCTCTTAATCGCAGCTGCAGAAGTGCCACACAAGCATGCGCGCACATGCACGCACAGAGACAGCGACAGTGACATTTGTTTGACCTTGCCCTAAACGCTAAAACTCTGCATTGACTGACAGCTCGAGAGATCTAAGCCGCAAGGCAACGACAGGGAGGACTTTTTGGTAATTACAAGTCCGAGTTTCTACACGGCACACGTTCGAGACCAGGTGAAGCGCATGAACTTGTGTTGTGGCTTGTTGGCTCTCGTACTGAACACATGACTTCGGAAAGCTTGCAGTAAGTCAGAATGGATGTAGAAAACCTCGCATTCTTCTTTCGAGACATCGCACTCGCTGCCGCCGCAGGCCGACTCTACCGTCGTCAAGGCAACCTCCTTCAACAGCTGCGGCAGCTGCGGTGGTAGATGCTTGATACACCCATTCATGAGCTTCCGCGATGGATCGACACCATCTTCCTGAAGACAGACGTACTCTTCTGCAGTCTGTGATTGCATGTTGGCTGCGGCAACGAGAACGTGGCGATGAAGCGAGTGTGCATTGTGCTCCTGCCTTCGCATGGAGAAGCTGAGATGCACACCCGGGGCTGCCACGACCATGCCCGGCATCTCAACGGGGAGCTTACGCTCTGAAACGCCACGACAAATCTGGAAAATTGCGCGGAGCTTTGCGTCGATCTCCAGTTGCCTGAAGCCGAGATTCCTGGCTGCTGGCGGCTGTTCAGAAACCTCGGCATTTCATCATACCAGATTCCTAGATCTAACACCATGTATGTTTTATGTTATTTTTATTAATACTATCCACAAGAAGAGCCAAGTTCTCTGGACCCTGAATCTGTCTGCTGCACTCGCCTTGAAATGAGGCATTCGCGCTTCTTTAGGGCTAAGCCGAGGCAGCCTTGGCTCCATTCCCGGCCCCTGTACCTGACATCGGGGTTTAGGGGCCTTAATAATTATTCCTATAGTATTTTGGGGGCTCCTTTCTATATCTATAGCATAATATACCCAAAGCCCTATTCTAATTGTTAAGGCCCCTACATTAACTTACTTCTTTGTGTTCTGTGGAGCCGTAATGAATATAATCCCACAACATTCAGTGGACAGGGTCTCGACAGCAGGTTGTGATCGGTTAAGGTATCGTAACGGCCTCGCATGGTGCTCGCGGATTTGAAGATCGTAATCCCTAAAGCCTACAAACCCCTACAGCGGTGTCACAGCCTGCAGGTCTTCGTCCTGTGATCGATCTGTTTTCTGGGAGCAGTGGAAAGTGGGACAGGCTTTTAAGGGACATCAACTATCTGCTAAGCTCCAAACCCAATCCCAGACCGACACATTCGTACCGGATGTAGGCTGTCCAGAGCCTCCAAACGGAATCTCTGGTGAAAGGGCAGCAAAGCTTTCTGCCCGAGCATGCTTTCAAAAAAGTGCCCAGCACGGCTAGGGGTCCTGGCTGTAGTATGTCTATGATTAAATGGCTTAGGACTTCCGGTCTCGGATCTTATCTGCTCAAGTTGACCATGGTAGATGACCGGAGTCCAAGGCTTTCATCCGAAGGCCCTGGACCTGATAGTAGCCCAGAAGACATGCACATAGAGAAGATGAACGTGGGGGTCTCGGTAAGGGGTTGAGGGTTTAGGTTCTATAGCCTATCCAAATTATAACATTATTATCATTCTTATTCTTCTTAGTCCTCTTATAGCAAGAATGGTGACGGGGGTTTAGGCCTTAGGGTTTCGGGTGGTTCATGTAGACTTGTTTGCCAACCGGGGTCTTAATTCCCACGAGCTGATACTACCAGAATATAGGCGCCTTAATACTAGAGTAGGGTTTTCGGGCATTATACTATAATTATAGTAAGGAACCCCCAGATAGTATTGGTAAGTATCTAGGCCCCTACATATGTCTCCGCACCTGGAAACCTTTTTGACTTTGGTAGGCCACCACTGTCAGACCCTAACACTTAGACGACACTCCCGGCAAGCTTCAAACCAGATACGGCTTAGGGTTTACCTGGACCCCAGCAGTATGCAGAATAGTAGCCTGTCATAGATGTTGGGCCACGTTGCACCATCACTTCACCTAATGTTGGGGGTGTACAGCTTTGTCGGAATTTTCAAGAACCAGTGATTACCATTTCGGGCGGCCTTGCTGAGTGCACCCCTAAACTTTTTCCCCTAGTCCCCACTGAGTCCGTTATATTCAGAAACTCAATATAAATACTATCTATGCTATGCGATGCTATACTAGACTATACGATGCCAGCACTACGTATAGTGGACTGAAGAATTGGTAATAGTATTCCCTGACAGTCGGTATATGGGTGGCTGGGTATCAAGAGTAGAAGGGGTAGAATTATATAGGGTTCCCCAGCGGGACCACGATTTCGACAGTTACCCATATAACTGTGGTAGGATATGTCCCCAAACCCTATGGTGACTATTGATTAGTTCAGGCCGCCAAATGTCGTGAGTGTTTTGGATTTTCAGTTCCACTGCCGCCTAAATTGGTGCCTCAATAACACATTACAATCCTGAAGACTCCATGTACCTAATTATCTAGTATATACTCAGGCCTTACATGGGTTCCTCTATAGGCACTTTGCGCCTAAGTATGCAATATATAGTACATAGAGCCACAGGGAGTTTTGACTCAAGCCCTCCCAGTACAGGCCCTGAACAGGCCCCGTGCCTATACCCCAGATCATCCGACTGCAGAGGTCTGCAGGATTAGAATGAGTTCTAGTCCGCATGAAACGGCTCTACGTTAGGATGTCTACCCAAACCTTATTCAAATGTCGATAAACACGTACAAGTCCTAAAACCTAAACCTGTATTGAAGCCAAAACCTCACAACCAAGCAAGCTTCAGTGTTTCCGCCTGTGCCTGCTGCCACATTGGAGCAGAAGTAGTGGAGCTCGGTTAGGCCTGGAGGTATAGAGACCGCAGCGGCTGGGGCAGCATCCGATCGGGTCTGCGGGGATTTTGGGCTTCGGGTTTAGGCTTTCAGGTTCAAGTTGCAGAGCTATGTTCCTTAGCAAGAACCATCTGGGATTCAGGGTTTCCGGGTGTAGGCAAGGTTTGGGATGTTGTTGGGTGCGGGTTTTGTGTTCGGTGTGGACTGGGGTTGTGAGAAATCGAGTTTGAGGCAGCTTAGTTCTGTTAACCGTAAACCCTCGTGATTGTAGTGAATATGCACCCCCCACTCTCCAGCATCTCCACCCCAAACCCCGGTGCTCCCTAAACCCTAAACCCATGTCGCGCTGAGGTCATGGCCTTCATGCGCACGTGTGTTGCTGCTTTCCTCCTGGTGGCTCTTGCTGCAGCGAATCAGTCCTAGAGAGGGCCAATGTTTTCGGGGACCCAGCTAGCTCCATAATGTTGTAGTATGTATATATATATATATACAGTACATATGCAAAAGTGTGTGTGTATATATATATATGTAGATATATATTTGCATGTGTATGTATATATAGATGTGTATGTGTATATATATATATAAGCTACATACATACATATCTATGTGTATGTGGAGCCTGGGAGTGACCTGCTGGGCCTCGTGTGAAAGTATTTGAAAGTAGTTTTGAAAGCCAACCCAGCGGACAACCAATTGCATCTTAAGCATGAAGTCAGGGTTTTGGGTGTAGAGATTTAGGGTTTGGGGCCTAGGGGGGTTAGTAGGGTAATTCTCTAAATTAGGCCTTCTTTGAGGGTGCTGTTCATAAGGGTGCCATACAATTGTTAGGACCTAAAAGGGACCCTAATTCAGACAAATATCCCAGTAGTGAGTGCGCGTGTCCTTGCAGAGGCATCTTCGTCGGGTGGGGGGGGGGGGGTTAAAGCAAAACGTTCTGCATAACGACAGCTGCAGTATCAGCTCTGAGTCTCTGCTGTGTAAGACTTTTGGCTTTTCGATCCGTTCAACATGGAGGTACCTACTTATCTGTTCTATGTATGCCATCTCCAAGATCATGTCCGTGTAGGCTGCCAAGGAAGCAGCAAGAAATGGGTTCCTTCAATTCCACAATAAGTTGTTCTTTTCACACACTTCTTCTCAAACTCCTCGCTTGGCCTGCAGTACTGAAGCGGCAACAGCTCTGCGCAAGAAGCGATGATCTTTGGTTGTGGAAACTGTGCAGGGGCTCCGTGGGGAGCACTTCCGTTAAACCCCAAACCCCTAAACTCCGAACCAGTCGGCCTCCCCAGGCGGTGAGCGTGATCGCGCAGGATGAGCCGGAGATTACCCACAAGGCAGACCCGGTGTAGTCGCACGTAAAAATGAAAGCACAGAAGTAAAACACATGTATAAAGTAGCTATGCATACTGAAGACATATCCACGCATGTAGCAGCATACACGGGCAACTATACGCAATACCTCTACTATAGGTTCTCGTTTTTGCCCTTATGCACATCCACTATAAGACGCCCCACCCACCACGCGATTAATGCTATAGTTAAGCCCTCATATATGATTGCGAGCATGTAGGCTGCGTTTGACATTCAACTCTTCAACTTCCTGTTCGCCATGTAGCCTAAGCCCTGAAGCCGAAACCGGAAAGCCTCACGCCCTGACCCTGAAGCCCTACACCCCAAACCCTTAGCCCCAACACCCAAATCGTTTTTTCACTTTGCATGTTGGCTTTTTTCAGGGTTGTGGGATATTCGGTACGCAGAAGCTTAAATATTGACCAATGCTTACTATAGTATGATATAACCAAACTTGAGGACCGTCCCTAAACCCCAAGCCCTAGACCCAAAACCGCGTATTAAAGAGCTGCCGCATTGGCTCTTTCGGAGGTTCGTGTTTAGGGCCCTGCGGATGAGCAGCGACTGCGCAAGCAACCACAAAGACCATCTTCTGCTACTGTGAACCGTACAAACAGCACAGCAATAAGAAGGATGAACTACTATGAACCACTCACAAGTATCGCGATCGTCCTGAATGCACTGCAGGTGTTCTTCGACGTCAAAATCGGAGACGACGCTAGGCACCCAGCCCTGTTTCCTCCATTGGAGGCACCAAGGAATGCTCCTGATTTCGTTGACGACGCCTCGCCGTAGCTTTCTAGAAGCTGGCATTTCAGAAATACGGTAGGTGACCCTAGTAATAGTATAGCCCCGAAATTCGAAATAGCACAGTTCTCAAAACCCACGCTCAACTTTTCCAGCGACCGCCTGCGGGAGCCGTATGAACATTAACATGAATGAATTGGCTCGTGCATCCGACCCACCAGCAGTCAAAAATGCACAGAAACACGTCACATAGGGGGATTTGGGGGGTAAATTATATTACAATTATAAAAAGGAACCACCAAAATAGTATACGTAATTGTTTAGGTCCCTACATTAGAACACAGAAGCGCATCGAAGCACAAAAAGCTGTGCCTAGAGCTTGTTTAAGGAATCTCAAAATCTGAAGGTCCTCAGGCCACCCGACAACGGCTCTAGCGCGTTTTCTTGTGCTACTGCTTTGCGCTTTCGATTTTGTTCTTGTTGGCGCTATCTTATTGCTGCATCGGCTCAGCTGTTCGTCCCGTCGAACTTCAAGCAGCCCACAGCATCTTCGGAGCAATCGACCTACTCCACAGTCCAATCTCGGTTATTCGGACACCTTTTCTTTGGCTCATCACTGGAGTCAGCATGAGCAGCCGGCCATTGAACATTTGGCCTGCCGGCGGACTGGCACATTTGTCACTGATGGTGGCCCTTCAAGCCTACAAAGCCTAAACCCTAAACTCCCCACTTGAAACCCCAATGCCCTTCACTTCAAGCCAGGTCCCAAGTATATTGTCCTATTAAACCCGAGCAAACATCATTAGGTTCTTTGCGACCATAGCAAAATAGCCCTGGCACAACCCCATTTCTAGGTTTGGACCCTTTAGAGGGTAGCTGCTGCCAAGGAGCCCAAGCGCGTCACCATGGGCCTGTTCGGCAAGGACGTGCCCAAGACGGCGTGCAACTTAGCAGTTCCGGCTCCACTTTGGGGCCTTTGGGGTTTGGAGTTTAGAGTCTTCGGGTTTTGGATTTACAGGTTCAGCTGTTTGGGGTTTAGGATTTTGGGTTCAGGGCTTGAGGGATTTGACTTAGGGTTTAGAATTTTCAAGTATTTGAGTCCAGGGTTGAGGGGTTGGGGTTTGGGGCTAGAGCTTTCGTTCGGAAAAGTGGGATAGCTTGGAAACCGTGAAGTTTATTTGGAGGATCACGGGGCTGAGGACGTCAGAAATAACCGTAAGTATAAACAACGCTAGGTTTAAGGTCTAAGGGTTTAGAGTAGTTACTAAGCTCTTTGATCTTTACCCAAGAGTCTGGCACCTCGCAAAGACTCTAGAACCCTAAACCCTGGACCTAAGCCCAATACGCCCTATAGAAAAAGGCCCTGAAAAGCCAAAACTCCAGATTCGAACAACGGTCTACAACCCAGTCCCAAACCCTATAGAACCCTCAACCCTTGACACCCTGTGGCCTAACACCCTTAACCCTTGATGACCCTCTCGGCTTCGGAGAGAGAAGTTGCCGACCCCTGATGGCAAAACTCAAGGCGACGTTGGCACCAAACCCTACATCCCAATATGGCCCGAGCACCCTGAACCCTTGAAGCCTAAAGCCCTAGCTGGCCATGGCCGATTGCATGTGTCGGGAGGCACCATGGGGCAGAGCTTGAGTGTCTGCAGGCGTAGGCTGCAAAGGGCCGGTCGGAACAAGATCAAGCAGACCGTGAGCGTCCCTGGCAGGTTCCAGCTTCGAGCTGGAAGTCAACTCTGCCGAAGCCGGGAGGGATGTAGCGGATCGCATCGCAGCCGGAGTTGGGCACCCTGCAGGGTTACTTGTGCTGACATCTCGTGGTTGCGTCATCGATCTTCGCCAGCTGCTGCTGCAAAAATCAGAGATCACGAACGTGGTGCGGAATCTTGGCGCGGGTCGTGTCGCGATGCTTTGGGAGAGCCTACTCGCGGAGAAGACTCTGTCTGATGTCGCTGCCCCGAACGAAACGAAGTCACTCACCTGGAAATCCAGACCACAGCTCAACCAGGGCATGCAGCTGCCCAGCATCCTGCAGAGTTTAGAGTTTGATGTTTGGTGTCGAGTTCAACCAGAGCTTGCCCACCATCCGACTACCCAGCAGCCTGAAGAGTTGACCTCGGCAAACGCTTCACCCGGAGCTTGGAGCGCATCTAACTACCCAGCGGCCTGCAGAGTTTGACCTTTGGCGGCTGGTTCCACCAGAGCCTGGAGGGCATTCACAACTGCCTAGCTGGCTGTGGAATTTGACATTTGGAAACTTCTTCGAGCAGAGCTTGGAGGGCACTCAGCTACCCAGCAGGCTGCGGAGTTTGGGTTTTGACAAGAGTTTGGGGGCATCCAACTACCCAGCAGCCTGGACAGTTTGACCTTTGGCGTCTCGTTCAACCAGAGCTTGGAAGGCATCCAGCTACCCAGCAGCCTTCAGAGTTTGACGTTTGGCCACGAGTTCAACCAGAGCTTGGAAGGCATCCAGCTACCCAGCAGCATTCAGAGTTTGACGTTTGGCCACGAGTTCAACCAGAGCTTGGA